CCCCCCCCCCCCCCCCCCCCCCCCTTTCTTGAAAAGGATTTGTCCTCAAAGCATCACTTACATCAAAATGACTCAAGACAGTAACATTGAAAGTAGCACGCACATTGTACTCACCCGGTAAGTCAAGCCGGTAGGCATTGCCATTGATCCATTCTAGCACTTGAAAAGGTCCATTTTCTCTGGGCAGTAACTTAGAACGTCGTTATTTATTTAATAAAAGAGTTTATTCATTATTTTATGTGCATATATTTATAAATATTTTATGAATATCAATGAAAATTTCATGATTATTTATGTGATCTTAAACATTGTATATAAGTGTTATATATAAGAGGATAATGTTTAAGTATAATAATCAAAAAATAATGTTCATAATAAATTTAATTAAAGTTTAGAATCTTTAATTAAAACATTATTAATACATGTCATTTCCATTTAGAATGGAACGGTGTTATCCGCACTATTAATATGGTGAGATATTGAATGAGTGTATTTCGCATAATGAGATTATGGGGAACAAGGACAGAGACACAATATGAATTTTTAATAATTTCTATTAAGTATAGAAATTCTAATTGAGTCTACCGATAGTCATATATAGAATGATCTTAATCCTAAGAGTTTAACAGACTCCTATTTATGGATTTGTGTCTTTTGATTTACACGATACGGATTCTGAGATCCTGAATCATATTCCTTGTATTTTGGAGATATGATGAAGTAGGTAGCCGGAAATGTTATTACACGAGATGGAATCCATTCCTTCTTAAGAAAGAAGTAGATAAATAATTCTCTTAAGGGCTGATTTTATACTTGGACCAGTAGGAGCTCCGATTCATGAATGTGTTTTATGAATCACTGTCCATTAGAGAATCAATGGTACTCAAAGATAAAGATATAATTAGAAAGGTTAACGAATTTTACCTAGCTCTAATTATGAATTATTTATAGAGGATCGATCTATATGTAGTGACTATATCAAATGCACACTTCAAAGTTTAGAAGTAATTTATATCTATAATTTCGAGAGTGCAATTCCAAGTTTATAGTGGAGTAACTATTAGAATTAATAGAATTAATTAATTAATTAAAGTGTTTAATTAATTATTAATTTTATTAGAGTTCGAGATTATAGGTCCATTAGTCCCCGCGTCGTTCTAGTAATTCTACAAGACACAAATGGCAAAATGGAAATTTTAGAATTACGGAATTCTAAAAATTAAACACTCGAAAATAATTAATTAAGAATTAATTATTGTTTAAATAATGTGATTATTTAAATTTGAATTTGAACACATCTAGATTTATCCATTTAAACTTATTTGATAAGTTGATCAATTTAGAATTCAAATTAATTTTAAGTTTGACTTAAATTGGAATTTGAATTTGAGTCAAAATTGGACTACAGGATAAAGGATGATTTTCTCTTCCTTCCCTATCTGATATTAGCACCTACACAGGGATGAGAATCCCCTAAGGTGGCCGGCCATAATGGAAAAAGGAAAAGAGGATATTTTGTTTCAAATTTAAAAGGAGATAATTAACAAGCTTTATCTTGCAGATAGAGATTGGATTTCTTCTAGAAGTTTGACTTCTACTCTATAAATAAGAGGATGATAGAAAATTGCTAGAGACAATTTTTGAAACAATTTTTG